ACCATATGAGATCAAAGGGGCAGCATTTGTCCAAAGATAAAGTTAAGAAAGAAGGAAAGGAAAAAAAGGATGAAGAAAAATGGTAAACACAGGGAGGAAATAGGAAGAATGGTGTTAGCCTGTGGATGGCAATCAGTTACAAAACAAAATGTGTATGAACTGTTAAAGAGAAAACCAATTGCCCTGTAAACTTTCACCTAAATCACAATTTTAAAAAGTAATAAAAAAATTTAAAAAAATAAAACGCAAAAAAAATAAATAGTAATAAAGTTGAGAACAGACTTTCAATACATCAAAAAGTACTCAAAATTGAGTGGCCTTTTATAAGTTTTTGAACATGTAACAAAAACGGCAAGAAATGAATGAAAAACTTTGAAGCAAAAAGGTGAGTAGACTTAATATCTATTAATTTATCAACACTGAATAAGATAATTTATGAAAGGTTGCTTATGTTGGGTCTGAAGGAAATTTCTCTCAGATGGAATGCCATCCATATCCTAGCATTCTAAACCAAAAAAACCAAACTCATTGCGGTCAAGTGGATTCCGACTCATAGCAACCCCCACTGGGTTTCCAAGGCAGTAAATCTTTACAAAAGCAGACTGCCTCACTTTTCTTCCATGGAGTAGCTGGTGGATTCGAATCACTGATATTTTGGTTAGCAGCCAATGCCTTTACCACTAAACCACCAGAGCTCCTTATGCTAGCATTCAAAACAATCAAACACACTGCCGTCAAGTTGGATCCGACTCATAGCAACCCCTCCTTGGGTTTCTGAGGCGTTATCACTACAGAAGTAGATTGGCCAACTTTCCTTCCAAGGAGTGGCTGGTGGGTTTGAACCACCAGCCTTCTGGTTAGCAGTCAAATGCCGTAGACACGATGCTACCAGAGCTCCTATGCTAGCATTGTTGTTGTTCGTATGCCGTCGAGTCAGCCCCGACTCATAGCGACCCCTCCTTGGGTTTCCAAGGCAGTATCACTACGGAAATAGGATTGCCCAAGCATTGTTGTTGTTATGTTATGTGCCGTCGAGTCGGCCCCGACTCATAGCGACCCCTCCTTGGGTTTCCGAGGCAGTATCACTACGGAAGTAGGATTGCCCAACCTTCCTTCCGAGGAGTGGCTGGTGGGTTTGAACCGCAAGCCGTCTGGTTTAGGGCTCTTATATTGTTGTTATGAGCCATCAAATCTCCTACTCACAGTGACTCAATATGCCACAGTGGAACTCTCCCACAGGATTTCTAAAGTTGTAATCTTTTCTTTCACTATACTTACTCAATCTGTATGCTGAGCAAATAATCTGAGAAACTGGACTATACAAAGAAGAATATGCATCAAGACTTGAGGAAGATTCATTAACAACCTGTAATATGTAGATGACACTATCATGCTTGCTGCAAGTGAAGATGACCTGAAGCATTTACTGATGAAAATCAAAGACTACAGCCACCTTCAGTATGGATTATACCTCAACATAAAGAAAATTAAAATCCTTGCAACTGGACCAATAAGCAGCATCACAGTAAGTGGAGAAAAGACTGACATTGTCAAGGATTTCATTTTACTTGGTTCTATAATCAACACCAATGAAAGCAGCAGTCAAAAAAAAAAAAAAAAAAAAAATCAATGGTATACTGTACTGATCAATCTGCTACAAAAGACTGCTTTAAAATGTTAAAAAGCAAAGATGTCACTTTGAGGACTAAGGTGCACCTGACTCAAGCCATGGTATTTTTAATCACCCCATAAGCATGTGAAAGCAGACCAGTGAATAAGGAAAGACAAAAGAAGGATTGATGCCTTTACATTATGGTGTAACCAAAGAATAGGAAATATACCATGGACTACCAGAAGACTCGACGGCATATAACAACAACAATAAACCAGAAGAACGAATAAATCTGTCTTGGAAGAAGTACAACGAGAATGTTCTTTAGAAGCAAGGAAAGCAAGGACGACAAGACTTCATCTCATGTGCTTTGGATATGTTATCAGAAGGCATCAGTCTCTGGAGAGAAGGACATTATTCTTGGTAAAGTAGAGGGTCAGTGAAAAAGCGAAGACCCTCAATGATATGGATTGACATTGAGGCTATAACAATTGCCTTAAACAGCAACTATTCTGAGGATGGCAAAGGACCAGGTAGTGTTTCATTCTTTTGTATGTAAGGGTTGTTCTGAGTCAGAACCAACGACAGTACTTAACAACAAAAACAATCTTTACAGAAGCAGATCACTAGATTTTTCTTCTTCCGTTGAGCAGCTACTGTGTTCATACTATTGACCTTCAGCTTAGCAGCACGGTGCTTAACCATTGTGTCACCAGGGCGCCTAGGGACTACTTTACTAACTCACTACCATCAAGTCCATTCCAACTCATAGCAACTCCCGTCGGGTTTCCGAGGTGATAAATCTTTATAGAAGTACACTGCCCCATCTTCCTTCAGTGGAGCAGTTAGTGGGTTTGAACTGCCAGCCTTCTGGTTAGCAGTCAAATGCCTTAGGCACTACGCCACCAGAGCTCCTTACCGACTACTCAAACTCACTGCCATTCAGTCAATTCCGACTCATAGCAACCCCCATTGGGTTTCCAAGGTGGTAAATCTTTACGGAAGTAGACTGCCCCATCTTCTTTCTGGAGCACCTGGTGGCTACTTTAGCACTTAATTTGTCTCCATTTATTCAAAATCTATAAAGTTAGGGAAATATGTTTAGAAAGATGAAAATTAAAACACATGCACACAAGTGTAAATGATGACAAAAATCTTAGAAATTAACAAACCACAGGCTCCATAACTTCAATGTAATTAATCAAACTAGTAGGAAATCCACATAGAACATGGATAGATAACCTTAGATTCAATCAGTGTTATTTTTTTCCAGAGTTCCTCTAAGATGCTTGATCCTGCTCCAATCGAGGATCTAACCCACACAGAAAAAACAGTGTGAGGATTTATAAGTATCTTTTAAATATCTCTACATCTACCTAGATATTTCAAAAACTATGCTAAAATTACCATTTTAAATCAACCCATTGGAAAAGATAAATCATTTATCTTTGTCAAATACTTTAAGACTTTGACAAACTTCAAACTTTGACAAACTGACAAACTTCAAAACTGCTTTCAAAATACTTAATTTCAAGAAACACTTTATATTTCACTGTCTACCAAATATCACAGGTAACCAGGGTACTGAAGCATTTCATGAATCCTTAATTTAAGAACAGAATTTCAGAAAAATGTCATATTACATTAACTTCATTTTTCTTTATAAAACTAATACACTCAGAAGACAAAAACTGTAGAAAATTAATTGTATTGCACTAAAACAACCTACCATATTTTACACAAATAATGCATATTACTTGCATAAAATATGCATAAAATATTTCCTTCCAATCATTTTTCATATGCTTATTTTAATATTGCTACAGAAAAAGTATAATTATAAAAGCATTTATTAAGTACTTACTATATTCTAGGCATGTTGTTGTTGTTGTTATGTGCCGACGAGTCGGACCCGACTCACAGCAACCCCTCCTTGGGTTTCCGAGGCCGTATCACTACGGAAGTAGATTGCCCCGTCTTCCTTCCGAGGAGTGGCTGGTGGATTTGAACCTCCAGCCTTCTGGTTAGCAGTCAAGAGCCTTAGCCACTATGCTACCAGGGCTCCCATTCTAGGCATAGTTCTAAGCATCTTTTCATGCTATAACAATATCTCATTTAATCTTTACCAAAGCCCTATGAACCGGTAATCAGGTGCCATTAAGTTCACTCCAACTGACAACCCCATGTGTTTCAGAAGACTGTGCTCCACAGGATTTTCAATGGGTGATTTTTTTTTTTTTTTTTTAAGTAGGCTGTCAGGCCTTTCTTCCAAGGTGTCTCTGGATGGACTCAAACTACCAACCTTTTAGTTAGCAGACAAATGCATTAACTATTTGCACCACCCAGGAACTCCAAAGCCCTATTAAGAAGATCCTATTATTATTATTCCCCATTTTAAAGATGAAGAAAATGAAGCACAGAGAAGTTATATGACTAGCCCAAAGTCACACAGCTAATAAGTGAAAGGAGTCAAGATCCTAGTTCCAGTAGTATGGTACCAGATTCTGGATTCTTAACAATTTCACTGTATTATGATCTTCATTTTGAAATAGGCTTTTCCTATCAGTGTTAGTTGTCAAAGTCCTTTTAATGCTTATAATAGGTCATGTAACATGGATATGATAAAAAGCTATATTTATTCTACCTATCCCTCATAAAGATAGGAAGACAACTATCTCTGAGTATAATACTTCTGTGACATTTAGATTACTGTAATTAAGTATTTTTATACTATTAAATATACTACCAAGTTGATTTCTAAAATATTTGTTGTCAATTAACAAAGCCATGGAAGTACCAATTTCACCATACAGTTGCCAGCATTAAGCATTAACATAAAACTACATATATTTTTTAGAAAAGAATGGCAATTTAAATTTTTTTATTATGAATGTTGCACATTTTTCTGTTTTCTTTAACTAGTTCTATTTTGTCTTTTATAAATTTTTAGCTTATATTCATTAGCTCATAATCAGCTGAGGTCTTAAAATTTTGTTTATTAATTTATAAGAGCTTTTTGTAGGAATATTAAATGTGTCCATCATATCTGCAATAAAATTTTCCACATCTGTTGTTTCTCTTAATTATGGTTATTATTTAACCTTTGTTTGTATGTTTTTGATAAAGTATCTTTCTAAAGTAAATTAAGTTACAAGCATTCTTAAAACCTTATGATTTTCTAAATATAAAAATTTTTCTACTGCTTTGAGCACATCAATAAATCCCTTTCAAATGTAAGACTGTCAAAACAATATAAATCTGTCAAAATATGCATATTCACTTAACTGCAGAATTTTAGAAATCTTAAATATCCCTCATATACAATTAACTCATTAACTAAAGCCCACCCTACCCCAAATCACCAAATTAAAAGCAAAGAACTACATACCTGTTGTTGTAAACATAGGCGATTTCTGTCATGTAAGTGCTGATGATTAGAAAGTGATGAATGCCAGCTCCGAGCCTGACTTTGCAATTGAACTTGAGCCATATCCAAAGGCCGTGTCATGAGATGTGAAGTAAACTGCCGATCCAGGTCATGATCTAAGACATGACTTGAACTATCTTGCCCAAATGTTGTCTCATCAAACTGGGGTAGGAGACCCTCCTGAAGAAGGTCCTCTGGGTCAAGTCCTGTGAATGGCTCAGTTTGAGACTCCACTTGATGAAGTAAATTCTCTTCTAAAGATGAAAAGCCATTGGTTTCCACGTGATCATTGAAATGGCCCATTTGAGTTCCTGAGTCAACAGGATCTGGGAAGTTCATGTGCACAGGAGATAATTTTGAATTGCTATAATTACCCTGAGGATGTGACGAATGCAACATTTGGAAATTATTAGAATTCAATGATGTATTAGGGTTTAGGATATGCTGAGTTGATTCCTGCTTGATTCCCCTATGAGGAGAAAAGGAATTACTTCCAGGAAAATCAGATAAAGTTTGATTTGTATGATTAGAAGCAAGAACAGCAGAAGACTGAAGAAGACTGTTTGATGATATATGATTACTGGAAAAGGAATAATGTGAAGAAAACTGCTGTGAATTACTGACAGAACAAGAAGTCATATTTGGAGAAGGTCCATTAAAATTTCCTTCTTGATGACTGCTACACTTGAGGAAGTGTATTGAAGGATTTGACGTTTGAGAAAACTGCTGCATCGGAAGAGACTGTTGTGAAGAAGATGCATTAGTAATTTGTGGTGGGTGGTTAACACTGACTCTGTGTGGACCAGAAACGTTAACATCCATAAAATTTTTAGACTGGTTAAGAGAATTTTGCCCGGAGTTATGATTATTTCTGTTCTGCTGTGAGCGTAACGATGTACACTGTGTTTGTTGTTCATTGGCATGATATAAGGCAAAATCAGAGTGTGCCACAAAGCTTTTATTTTGATGCATAGGGTGTGAATGTCCTTGTTGGTGAAAAGGAGACCCATTTTGATTTGAAATGCTAGTAGCTGTCTGGTGGCCCCACATAGGACTCCCATCTGCTACATCTGGAAACAAACCATTGGATTGGTTCTGGGGGTGGATCGGAGAACAGTTAAACTGAGAGTGTGGAGATAACACGTGTTCTGCTGGACTACCAAAAGACTGATTAACTTGATGAAATTTCAGTGAATCAAACTGGTTTAACTGTTCAAAATCAGTCATCTTCTGATGTGTTGTAGTACCCTGAACATGGTTCAGTGAGTCTATGTGCAAAGGTTCAAATTCTGCACCCAAGTTCAATTCATCAACTAGAGAAACAGGTCCTGGTTGTACAAATGCATCATCTGACAAACCTTCTAAGGTCTCACCAAAAAGATTGGCATCATCAAAAAAATCCATCATTGGATCTGTCATCTTGAAACTTCAGTAACAATCTAGCCTGTTCACTCCAAATGGAGGATATTCAGCTTCTCTGTAGCAGACAGTGGATCATTTCTGAAAGTCATCAGCTAATCCAAAACATGTCAATGCTCATTATTATTCCAAATAGTGACATGTCATCAAGTGTCAGAATCCTAGAAAAATAAGAAAAAAGGTAATGTGAATTTAATAATAATTACTCATTAAAATTCTACAACCAAAGTTCATATATGATTTATGGCTTAAAAACACAAATCTCAATGTACAGTATTTTACGTTATATAGTAATTCATTGCAAATAGTGCATTAATGTTTCCTTAAGGAAAAAAAGGGCTCTTGCAGAACATAACTATATGCATTTAGAAGTAATAAAGCACATTATTTCATTTTGAATTTCATTTATTATGACAAAAGAATGTAGAGTAAACCTGGGAATAGTATGTCAGATTCATCCTTATCATGAAATGACTATTACTCCTGAACAGCTCTAGTCAGTGAATTAAATATATAAGTACTACAATAGGAGCTCTGGTAGTGTAGTGCCTAGGGCACCTGGCTGCTAACCATAAGGCTGGCAGTTCAAACCCACCAGCCACTCCTCAGAAGGAAGGTTGGGCAATTCCAAGGTAGTGATATCACCTTGGAAACCCAAGGAGGGGTTGCTATGAGTCGGGTCCGACTCGATGGCACATAACAACAATTCAAAGTTACATCTTATTAAGATAACTGACATTTGACCCTCTCATATTAGTAAATTCATTGGGATTTTTTGCTTTAAACCTCTTGAGCAGATAAATCTATTTCATAGGGTAGATGTGGAAATCCCTCGAGATGCAATTGTCTGAAGTCATGATAAACTGACCCAGAATGAGATTAAAGTTAGTCATCTGGTGTACAGTCAGTTTACAGCACAGACATACAACATGCTGGAAATTTCTCTGTATAATTCTGCCATGGTCCTCTTGTTCATCTACCATGGAAGATCATCCTTCTTGAATCAGCTGATTTGCATATCCATGAAGCAAAAGCAAGCACCTCTCTGTTATCCACTGTATTCATTTCTCTGTACCTGAGTCCCCTCTAATAAATGCTTTGGAATATACCATATAGTTTATTATACTTTTTAAACTGTGCAAATAAAGGCGTCCTCAGAATAAAGCTATAGAAAAAAAAGTATATGAATAAGTAAAACACTGGTCTCTTGATAGTATCCAGAGAAAAAATTATTGTATTTGTGTGTGTGTGAAGGAACTAATAGGTTGCTTACCAATATAAAACAGTTGACCATTATTATTACAGGCTTATTATCAGCCCAAATATTTTTTAACAAAGGTCATTTGTAGTTCTGCCCCATGGCCTTGCATAGAGAACTACAAGTAGAGGTTCTTGCTTTTCTACATATTAGTTTCTCTCAAGATTTGCAAAAGTCTATAAAACTTTTTCAAAACTTCTAGTTCGAGATCCATATTAGGAAATATAAATTTCCTAGACAATAGGTCTGCTCATTAATTAAATATAGAAATACGTTTTAAAAATCCGAGAAGTAAAATCTAGCAAAATCTGTATTAATTTTACCCAGACACTGACTTACTGACAATCACAATGGCACCTAAGTGCTTTAATAAATATATAGGATTTTAGATCTTAGTATCAGTAAAATACAAAATATGAGAAATTTTTTTTCCCAAAATTACTTTATAATTGTGAAATCAAGCATATGAGGAATAATCATAAGGACTTCCAGTAACATGGCAGAATGGGCAGACAAGATACACAGACCCTCTTCAACCAAAAAAAAGAGAGAAACCAATTGACATACATACAGATGATAATCCTAGAGCCCTGAACTTTGAAAGGAAATATACAGAAGTGGATCAAGGACTAACTAGTGGAAAAACCTGAATAAAAAGTGAGTATGGAGATGGACAGTGATGTGGACTGTCAGCTACTCTGCCACCGACAGCCTAGGTACTTCCAAGTGGTGTTGGGACCTCAGAACTGACCTAAAGATCAGCCCTGGTCACCAAGGGTTGCAGGGACGACTATACTGGTGGCCTATGACTAGGAAGGGAAACAGCAGGGAGGGAGGCAACCTGAGCTGTGGACTTTCAGCTATCTGAAGGGCACAGCCATTCTGACTGTTTATAAGTGGTGGCCATTTTGGATATTTAAAGTGATCAAGGGAGCAGCCATTTTCAATGTTTAAAATCAGCGGCAATTTTGGATATTTAATGTGACCAAGGGTGCTGCCATTTTCAATGTTTACAAACGGCAGACATTTTGGATATTTAAAGGGACAGCATTCTCATTTGGATTCCAGGGACCTGAGAGTAGGCTCCATTTGTCATGGATGGCAGGTATATGGGAGGCTGACAACAGGAAAGGAGACAGGTGGTGAGTGTATAAATGCTGCCAATTAGTGAACAGAGGAGCACAGTAACCCTGATTACATAGATAACATCAAAACAAAACAAAGAAAACAAAAATCATGGGCAAGTAACTTCAACATGCAATCACCAATTCCATATAAACACAAAAATGTCACAATGTCTTGGAGACAACAGAGCACCACAGTGCACACAGAGAAGATAAAGCAAGAGAAACAAATGACCAGGATACAGACCCAGAACACATCCCTGAGGAATAAGCAGCATTGGAACTCCCTGATAAGGAATTCAAAAGAATTATATTGAGCTACCTTCAACAGATTGAGAGACAGATCAAGGGAAACACTGACAAAATTGGAAAAAAACCCTACAACAATTTCAGAAGACAATAAGAACAAAATGACAAAATAAATGAAAAATTAGAAATGATACAAAATCTACAGACAGAAATCTAAAAGATTAATACTAAATTTTCAGAAACAGATAAGACATTGAATGGGCAAAGGAGCAGAATTGAATCAATGTAGATAGAATTAGGGAGATTGAAGGCATATACCTCAATACTTCTTTAGAAAGGGAGTAATCAGAAAAAAAGATCAAAACAAAAGGAAGGAAGCCTAAGATTCATGTGGGATACCATCAAAAGGAATAACATGTGTAATCGGAATTCCAGAATGGGAAGAGACAAATAAAACCACAGAGAAAATTGTTGAAGATTTGTTGGATTAGAATTTCCCTGGTCTGGTGAAAGATGAGAATATATACATTCAAGAAGTCCAATGAACCCCAAACAGGACAGACCCCAAAAGAAAATCACCAAGACGTATCATCATCAAACTCACCAAAAAACCAAAGACAAAGAAAGAATCCTAAAAGCAGCACAGGAAAAACAAAAAGTTACTTGCAAAGGACAACCAGTAAGACTAAGCTCGGATTTCTCAGCAGAAACCATGCAGGAGAGAAGACAAGGGGATGGTATATACAAAACCCTGAAAGAAAAAAATTTCCAACCAACAATTATATAGCCAGCAAAACTGTCCTTCAAAAATGAAGGTGAAATTAAGACATTTCCACACAAACAGAAATTAAGGGAATTTGTTAAAACCAGACCAGCCTTACAAGAGATGCTAAAGGGAGTCCTTTGGACAGAGAACCAACAACAGCAGACAACAACTAACCATTAACACACATGATGACACAACCCAGAAACCAGCACAGTTATGGAAGTATCCAAAGTAAATAAGCCTAAAAGACTGTAAACAGGAAACCAGAGACACCACAATTGACAAATAAAGACAACTACAAACCAAACAGAGGGAAAAAATTAAGTAGTTACCGAACTTCTAAATGGTAGGGAAGTCAAGACAAACTGCAAGATAGAACAGACTATTCTAAACTTGGGAAGAAAATTATAAATCACAGTGTAAACTCAAAGAAAACTGATAAACCTTCATAGCACAATCAAAAAGAAGACCAGCACAAATATTTAGCAAATACTAAAACAGTAGCAAAGAAGCAACTAATAATATAATTCATAAACAACAAGCTCAGCACAAAAAATTATATGTAAGAAATCAGCAACACCACAAAAAAGCACATAACAAAATGACAGCAACAAATTCATACTTGTCGATAATTAAACTGCCAACAGAGTAAAAAGAAAACCTACAGATTGGGAAAAATATTCAGTAACAACATATCTGATAAGAGACTTATCTCTAAAATTTATAGAAAACTCCAATACCTCAACAACAAAAAGATTAACAATCCAATTAAAAAATGGGAAGACATGAACAGACACTTCACCAAGAAGGATATTTAGGTGGCCAGCAAATACATGAAGAAATGTTCATGATCATTAGCAATCAGAGAGATGCAAATCAAAACAATAATGAGATACCATCTCACCCCAGCACTAATGGCAAAGTTCAACAAGACAGCGAATAACAAATGCTGGCAAGGCTGTGGAGAGATTGGGACTCTCATATACTGCTGGTGGGACTGTAAAATGATACAACCACTGTGGAGAGCAGTATGGTGATTCCATAAAAAGCTGGAATCAGAAATACCATTTAGATCCAGCAATCCCATTACTAGGTATATATGCTAAAGAAGTGAGAGCCAGGACATGAACACATATATGCACACCCATGTTAATTTCAGCACTATTTACAAAAGCATGGAATGGAAACAACCTAGGTGCCCATCAATAGAAGAATGGATAACCAAAGTATGGCATATACACACAATGGAATACTATGCAACACTAAAGAAAAATGTAGAATCTGCAAAACACTGCATAACATGGATGAACTTGGAGGACATTATGCTGAGGGAAATAAGTCAATCATGGAAGAACAAATATAGTATTAGATCATTATTGGAAAAAGTCAAGGAAAGGTTTGTATATGGAAGGAAACCTTCTTTATTGGTTACAAGGTGTGGTAGAGGAGGGGAGGAAACATTGCAAAAAATAAATAAATAAAATGCACTGACCCATGTCACTTTAGTTTTGTGTATTTCACTGTACAAAAATTAAATTTCTATAAAATGTATTAAAAAAAGAGTTATATAGTCTTCTTTGTTCAATAAACAAATAAGGTAAGTTAATTAACTTCTCTGGAACATACCTTATATCCAGCTTCAGACTAAGGAACATCTATAGACATCTAAAGCATTAATCAAAAAAACAATGTTTTATTTTTCATACAGATACATGATTAAAAACTGGAACATAGTAAAAAATCATAAAGGATACCATAGTTGAC